ATATAATAAATTAGAAGTTAGTTATCCGTCGCTAAATTAGAAAGTAGTATAATTAAAATTCGGTAGGCCGAAGAGTAGGTATTAATAGAAAAATTACTAGTAATTATAGCCGGTCCTCCTTCGGAATTAGGGACCCTACTATTACTATTATAAATTCTAGAACTAATAATTACCGACCGAAAGGAATAGTTAAAAAATATAATAAATTGAAAATAGGTATTGTACTATAGTTATTCTTCAACGGTAGTAGTAATAAAATTGAATCGACGGTACGAGTTTACTATCGCCGACCTTAACCCTAAATTTAATGATAAAGCTATTTAATAATATATAATTAATATAAGGAAAGTGATGAAAAGAAGGAAAATTCGAATATTCAAGAAAGACAAAGACGAACCGTATCTATTAATTGAAGCGAAGAGCTCCTTTTTAAGCTAAACTAGAATAGAGGTTATTAGACTTCAGGCATTCCTCTTCCGGAAGAAGGTATTGAATATTTAAATACCTATCTACATTTAAGGGTTAGAGAAGGACACCTTCGCCTATATTATTTTGAATTTACTTTAATATAGAAGGCTTCTAATAATCGGATTTAGATAATTAGCTATTAACGAAAGAAGAGTTCTAAGAGTACTTAGATAATAGAATTAAAGCCGAAAGGATACTATTATAAATATTAAGGTTAGGTAAATTAAAGGAGTATTACCTAGTAATTAAATTAGAGGAGGAGTAATGTAAGGAGATTATAAGGTACTTTTAAGGAGGGAATAAATTATTCATAATACTAGAATAAGAGAATAAGGGATAGGGGAGAAACAATTATATTAATTATAAATACGTTTTAAATTATAGTTATTGTCACAGGCATTGCTACCATGTTCCTGTATATAGATAGAGGGTGCTGTACTGCATTAAGTGCAGTCAACTGTGCAGCTGCCTGCGTGCAGTACAACAGTCACGTGCATACGTGCTGTGGTCCGCGTACTGGACCCATACGGCGTGCCCTATATAGTTCTCGTACGCGTATAGGTTTCTCTTTCTATTCCTCGTACAATAATGAAAGTCTTACCTTAGTGCTTATTCGCGCCCTATAATACTTTATTATACCTAACCTTCGCGTTAAAGCGTAATAAGTAATTTCGGTCGAATTAAATTTAGTAGAGGTTAATGTAATAAATCGGTTTTTACGAAATTTACTCTTTGGCGAATTGTATAATCGTTGATAGCGAATTGGAAATTCTGAACCCTAAAATAGTAAATAAATATTTAGAATAACGAGGGTGCAATTATCGTATTGTACAATACGGTAAAAAGAATATCTATTTTCTTATTCTAGTTTTTAACGAACTATTAATCCAATTATTTATTCAGGTAATTCAATTGTTTATTCAAATAAGATATTTAATAATTAGGATTATAATAGTAACGGTTAAATCGACCTTGCTAGGGTTTTCCCTTCCCTATTTGAAGGCTTTAACGTATTATTCGCTATTTATAGTAATAATTCTAATATTAGCCTTCGGGTTTTACCTAACTTCGCAATATAACTTAGGAATTATGGAGAAATCAGAAAGTTATTATATTATTTTAAGAAAAAGATTAAACTATTTAACGAAAACGTTATAGCCGAGTAGGAGAAATTTAAAGACTATAAGCGCGACGCCGAAACCAATATCAAGAAGATGAGCTATAAGATAGGATAAATAGTTAATTATATTGGTAAATTCAAGGGTATTAAAAATAGGTCGTAGATTATTAAGGGTCCTATAGAATTAATATAATTAGGTCGTTAAAGATAATATATCCTTAGAGTAGAAGTTGGTTATAGTTGAGAAAGAGAAAGTAGTTTAGGAGAGTAATATAATTAAGATTATTATTAAGAAGGAGAGCGACTATTAGAATATTTTTAATTTACTAGCTACGGTTAACGCTATATTTAACGAATTCAAGTAGGAATATAGTAATATACGTATTGTGATTAAAATCGTATAAGACGAGGCCGCTAAAATATAAGAGGATATTAAAATTATTTAGGACGATTTCTACTTAGCCGAAGAAAGTATATTCGTTACTGAAAACAACCTAGTAGCGGCCTCAGAATAATTTAAAGTAATTATTAAAGGTAGGTTCCAAACTATAATTAAAAATATTACGGACGGGGATATTAGTAGTATAGAATATAATAGTAACCCTCGAGGATTAGGTAAAGGAACCGGCTTTAGCCCTAGCAATACAAGTAGCGGTCCTAGTAATAACGGCCCTTATAGATTGGGTAAAAGGACCAGCTTTAGCCCTAGTAAAATAAATAACGGTCCTAGAAATAGAGGAAGTTTTCCTAGAAATAGTAGAAATTTCCCTAGTAGTAGTAGGGGATTCCCTAATAGAGGTTTCCCCGGCGGAGGGTTCCCCGGCGGGCCCGGAGGTCCCGGCAGCCCTAAAAGTCCCGGCGGTCCTAGAAGTTACCCGCCCCTCCCCTCTAACCCCTAATCCAATTATTACTATAAAGTTTTTTATTAAGACCCCGAAGATTTTGATAGCGAGGAGATAAATACTATTAAGGACTATAACGCTTATAACGTTTAGAATTTAAATATTCGTAGCTATTAATTAATAGATAGATACGAATTCTCTAACGAATTATTTAAACTCCTCTATACTATAACCTACTTAAACAGTGAGGCTAAAGTTAGTATTAACAATTATTATTAATTTATCCTAAATAAATTTTATTATTTAATTTAATGAAAATAGAAAACAAGCAAGGAGTTCCTTACTTACCTAAATAAACGCTACAAATAAGGTGACTTTATAACTATAGTAGAGAGAGAGTTATTAAATTTTAAATAAATTAATAAGTATATTAATTATAAAGATTTCGAAGCTAAATTCGTTTCGTTAGTAAATCGTTACAATTATAATATAATTACTAAAGTTTGCCTCTTATATTAAAAAGTAGTTAAATTATTAATTAATTCGGTTTCCTACTATTACGTTCAACTGAAATATAACGATTAGAAGGGATAATTTACTTTATTCCGTAGTATTATTAAAGTATATACTAAAGTATTGCTTTATAATAATTATATCCAAACGACTACGAATAATAATAATAGTAATAATAAAAGTAGTAGTAATGATAGTAGTAAGTAGAAGGACCCCGACTCTATAGATATAGATCGTACCAAATTTACAGAAATTTATAAAAACGTCCTATAAGAACATTATAATAAAGGTAATTATATAAACTATAATAAAGGAAAATATTTAGCTAAAGACTATAGAAGTAATATTAATTATAGAATTAGAAGTAAGTAACCTAACTATTCGGGTTTAAGTATTACTATACGCTAAAGCTCTAATATAAGCGCCCTAATTACTAATAGTATAATAGTAAATATAACTTACCCTACACTAACTATATTTATAGTCCTAATAACCCTAACCCCCGCCGTCCTAATTCTATAGACAAATGATAAACCCTAGGGCTATATTGTACCCCAGGGTATTCCGGGATATAAAGAGGAAAGATAAGGGCAAAGACAAAAAAATTTAATATTTATACAATTGGTTATTGAAAGATCGAGCTATTTAAATTAAGTATTTTAAAATTCTATAAGCAAAATACAACCCTCCTTTCTACGTATTTTTAATATTCCTAATATAATAGTAAAGTAGAATATATACTACTAATTAATTTAGAATATTCGGGTAAAGCCTTTATTAATTGTTCGTTTGCGGAAAAAGTTTATTTAGAATTCAAAATACTAAAGAAGCCAAGACTATTACATTTAATAGATGGCGCTTTTAAACGTATTAATAATTATAAAGAGGTTATTCGGTTCTTTATAGCCAATTTAGCGGTAAATTACCCAGTTATTTTAGGGTAGCTATAATTACAATTCTATAACTTAAATATGGACTAGGTAATTAATAAAATTATTTAGAATGTTAGATATATAGGGATATATATAAATTAACCTTTAGAAATAGTAGTATTCCTAGACGAGGCTTAAGAAATAGAAGAATCTGAAGAATCCGAAGACGAATCCTACAACTTTAAAAATGAGTCCGAAGATGAATTTAAAGAGGAGGATATCCTTGATTGGACGATTAATATTACTAAGGCCCCTAAAGGAAATGAAACTATAATAATAGACTTCATATCCCCGCTAATTTACATAAATAAATTCGAAGAACTATTCGGTTTAGAAAGGAAGCTTACGCCTAAGAAAGTTAGAATATAAGTTAGGATTATTAGTAGGCGGAGAGTCTAAATAATATTATAATTAGAGAGAGTTAAACGTACAACGTTCTAGCCCTTTATACTTATAATTAGTATAGTAGCGTTAAACTTTTTAGACTTTAAATTAATTAATATAAGAATATTTATATTTAATATTAGGTTGAGGGGAATTTAAGTAAATTTAATAATATAAATAGAATTCGAAGAGGTATAGAAGGAGAAGAAAGAAATTATTTCTATATTAATTCTATTGGAAGATACTTCGAAAAATATGATATAGGGTAAGGGCGAGCTTTATAAGTACTACTTTAAGGATACTAAAGTCTATAAATTTATTAACTTATATTAAAAAGAACCTATAGGAGAAAAAATAGGCGCGTAATCCTTTTAATTTAGCGAGGCGGCCCGAGATTTCGTTAATTGTATTTGTAAGTTAGGGTTCGGAGAGGAGACGTAAGAAAAGAAAGAGCCTGTACAATTATCCGAAATTAATAAAATCTATAGCATTATAAAGGAAAACGTATAAAAGTTTATAGAGAAATTTATAAAGCTAAAATATATACCGAAATAAATGAAAGTATAATTCTTTAATAAATATAAGGATTTATTATACGTTATAAACCCTATAAACATTAAAGTAATCTTTAAGTACCGTTTATGCAATTATAAAATTAAATTGAAATTAGGAATGGAGTCGTTACTTTACTCTAAAGCGAAACTAATATTACCCTAAAAATTGAAGGTTATTAAATAATAGTTGGATAATAATTTAACGAAGGAATTTGTCCGACTATCGACTTCGGATATCGCCTCTCCAATCTTACTAGTAAGGAAGTTAGGCGGCGGTATAAGAATTTATATTAATTATAAAAGTATTAATAATATCTCTTTCAAAAATAAATACCCGTTACTATTAATTAAAGAAATGCTGGACGCTATTTATCAAGCTAAATAGTTTATTAAAATTAGTATAATCGCGGTATTTTATACATTATATATAATTGAGGGCTACGAATAATTAACAGTATTTATTATACAATTCGCGCTATACGAATTATTAATCTATCTGTTTGGATTTTTAGAAATACTAGCCTCGTTCCAAAACTTTGTTAATAATATATTATATAACGTCCTTAATATTTATATAATAGCCTACTTTAATAATATCCTAATCTTCTCAGAAACTTATAAAAACTATATTAAATACGTCCGAGAAGTACTTTAACATTTAATTAATATAGGCCTCTAAATTAATATTAATAAATACGAATTTTATATATAAAGAACTAAATACCTAGGATTATTTATTATTCCGGGTAGTATCGAAATAGATCCCGAGAAGGTAGTAACGGTTATTAAATAGGAAGTACCGACTAATAGACGCTAATTATAACGGTTCTTAGGTTTTACGAACTCCTATAGGAGATTTATCACCGGCTTTTCTTATATAGGTAAACTACTATATAAGCTAATAAAAAGAATAATCGAATAGAAGTAGAATAAAGAATATAATAACGCCTTTAAATCCCTAAAGATAAAATTCATATTTATACCGGTATTAAAGACGTATAACTAGGAGAAGCCTATAATTATTGAAGTTAATACTTTAAATTAATTATTGGGAAGTACCCTCTCTTAAATATATAACGAGGAGCTCTATCTAATAATTTATTTCTTAGACAAGTATTCGGCGGCCGAATATAATTACAATATATATATTAAAGAACTATTAGTAATTATTAAGGCGCTAGAAGAGTAGAGGCCGGAATCGGAAGGAGTTACTAAACTTTCTAAAATTATTACGGATTATAAGAATTTAAAGATATTTAGTACTACGAAGAAGCTTGTTCCCCGGCATATATAGTAATTTAAATTTCTATCTAAATTTATTTTACAATTAAATACCAGCCGAGATTGATAAGTATTAGGCCCGACACTTTAGGCCGGAAGCTAGAATATATTCTTAAAGACGAAATAAACAATAGGCTAAAAGCTAGGAAGAAGCTACTTATCGACCTAGACCGCTTTAACTAATCCTTTAATAATAGGCAGCTCTTAAACGTCGAAGGCGAAGGATTCATGATAAATATTATATTAGAAGACGGAGCCCCCTTTATTATATATATTCTAAAAGATAGCTTTAAGAATAACGATATTAAAGGGCTAGGTATTCATACAAATAATTTAATAGATCGTACTTATATTAATTCTCTTATAATAGCCGATATCCGGGAAACTATCCGAGTGGGAAATTGTTATCCGAAGTACTTAAAGAAGAAACTAAAGATCCTATTCGTCGAATACTATATAGTTAATAATAATATAATATTCTAGAATACGTTAGTAATTCCTCCTAATACTAAGAAAGTCTAATTAGAGTTAATCTACCGTACTTATTTATTAGTATAAGGGGGTTACCCGGATAGAGATAAAATAGTAGTATTAATATATCGGTATTTCTGATTATGAATAATTATAATAATAAACGTTTACTATAGGGTATATATTCTTTATAGTAGGACTAAGGCTACTAAAATATTACCGGTAGGGTTTTTAAAGCTTTTACTAATCCTATATACTCTTTAGAAGGATATTTTTATCGACTACGTTACCCTATTCCCTAAATTAAAGAAGGCAAGTGGATGTATTAAATACGAATATATACTATTTGTAGTAAATAGACTTACAAAGATACGACACTTTATTCTAATAGAAGGACTATTAATAGAAAAATTAGTAGAAAAGTTTATTAACTATATTTATATACTTTATAGCCTCTCAAATACTATTATATCCGATAGGGGAATTTAATTTATATTGGCTTTCTAAAAGCAATTATTATATAGGCTAGATATTAAACTAAAACTATCTACCCCTTACTATAAAGAAATCAATAGTTAAACCGAAAGGATTAATACTGAAATAGAATAATATTTATAGATATTCATTAATTAGGTATAGAATAATTAAGTAAATTAGCTACCCTTAGGCGAGTTCTAAGGGAATAATTTTAAATCTACGTTAATTAGAATTACCCTATTCTTTACTAACTACGGGTTTTATCCCCGAATAGGTATAAAGCCGACTATACTATTACCCTTAAACGTTATAAATATATAGCGAAAGTGGATTTCTAATACTAATTAATTAGTAGTATACTTTAAGGAGGTTTAGGACTTTACTAAAATATCTTTTTGTAAGTATAAGAGCGTTATAAGGTAGTAGTAAATAAGAAGTGTACGGATACCCCTGAATATAAAGTAAGTCATAAAATTCTTATTAATATAAGTAACTACGCTACTAAATATCCGTATAATAAACTAATACCCCGGTTTAAGGGGCTATTTTATATTATAAAAGCTAATTTATATATAGTAGAGTTAATTCTACCTTAAAATATGAAGGTTACCTACATTATTAATATATCCTATATTAAACTTTATATCGAGGGACTCCCTAACTAAAGGGAGTTAATAATAAATGTTAGGATAAACGAGAGTATAATTATTAGTAGAATAATTAACTTCGAAGAAAATAGATAATAGGAGTTCGAAGAATTGTTAGATTACTAGAAAATCTACGGCTCTTAGAAGTATTTAGTAAAGTAGTTATATACTTATTAAATTAGTAACCGGTTAAGAATTTTAATAGTCATTAAGAGTTAGTCTAGTAATTTAATAATAACTATTTAGAATTTAGTCCCCCGTACTTAAATTTTAGAAAAGGATAGAAAATATAATAAAAGATAAAGATAATTCTAGAGGCCGAAACCAAAATTCAGTCCCTAATCCCAGCTATAGTAGTACTAATAATAGATAACCGGTAAATAAGAAGAAGCGGGAAATTGAATAATAAATAAAAAATAATAAAAAGAAAGGAATTTAGTTCGATTTATTCTATATACCTTGATTAAATACTTAGTAGTATACTCTTTTATAGAATAATTATTAATAGTACTGAAAGATAGTACGTTTTACGGCGGTCTTACGTTTCTTATTCCCCCGAATAGCCTATACCTATATTACAAACCTATAATAAATAAGATTAGAAGATGAGAAGGATTTAAAAAACGTTAGTAGTATAATAATTGAGCGTTAAAGAGAAAAACGAGTTATAAGTAGGGAATTGAATATACGAACTCTCCAATTTATATTAATAGCGGCTACGGCCGTCCTACGTAAATTACTATACTATAGGCGTCCTTATAGTACTCCTAATAGGGTGAATAATAAGAAGAATCGTTAAGGTTCTCTATATACGTTAATTAGGCTAGTTTTCTGACGTTCAAATAAATTATTAAGGGTAATAATAACTCTTATAGCGGAAGGGTTGAATTTAGTAATATTTTAATTAATATTCGACGCTTAAGCGGGAATTAAAATACCGGCGGGCGCTAAGCAGCTTCCCGCTTTAGTAAAACTTTTACTAGTGCTTAGTTAGGCGTAGCTATAGGAAGGCTAGGTAAACTCCACTTTATTAATAATAAATATAATATCGGATTTTCGAACGGGAATATTACTTTGAGAGGGGGGTAGTATTATAGGTATTACTACCATATTCCTAAATATAAATAGAAGGTACTATACTATATTAAGTACAATCAACTACATAGCTACTTAAATATAGTATAGCAATTACGTATATACGTGCTGTAGTCCGCGTACTGGACCTACACGGCGTGCCCTATATAGTTCTCGTGCGCGTACAGGATTCTCTTCCTGTTCCTCGCACAACAATCAAAGTCTTACCTTAGTGCTTGCTCGCGCCCCGTGAAAGTTATAGCGAAAATTAGAATACTATCTATTCAATTTTTAATTACGCTTAAGAAGTTCTTCGAGGAGTTCCATTATACGAATTTAGTTTATAGTAACGTGATAATGCTATTGAATCTAATTATTATTCATAATGGGGCGGTTTGGGGTTTCGATAATTATAAGGCTGCTAGGGGTAATACTACGACTATTAAAACCGGAGACTATACGAGTAAAAGTAGTAGTACTATTACTACTGGATATAATACGTACGGGAGTAATTATATTACTATTAGAATTAAAAGTAATACGAACCGGGTTCATTATATTACTATTAATAGAATTGGAGGGAGTACAGCTATAGAGGGCCATATTCTTTATACGTAGTATATAATATTTCTTTTATTAATAGTAAGTAGCATCATAATTTAGGGTACGAGGAAGGTTAATAAGGTTATTTAGAAAGTCATTATATATTAAATAATTATATATATACTTTTTGAAAAAGTTAATAGTATTCGCGAAGGCTTTTAATTTTTAGTAATAATCCGCTTAATTGGTTACTACTATAGTAGTAATAATTATAAATTAAATAATATTGCGAATATTATAGAAATTAACCGGAATATTTAATATATATTTATTAATAATATAAATATAAATTACGGTTTAGGGGCTAAAAATTAAGATTAAACGTTAATTAGGGAGGAGGAATAAAAAGAGGAAAGATACGGGATTTATAAGTAGATAAAATAAAATAAGTTTTACTAATAACGATTTTATAAAAGGTATTGGGATTATTAGGTTTCGTATTAGAATTCAAAATTATAATAAGGTTTAAAGTATAGTAGAGGTAAGGGATTTTATAGACGGTATCAGAAGAGGTAATATATGAACATTAAATAATAGAAGGGATAATTATATCAGTTTCAAAGGATTTTAAAATTCTTATTACTATAAAATATATAAAAACATATTGTATATTCTAAGGGAGTTAGGGCTACGAAATTAGGGGAGGATATAAGGCCCGGAGATAAATTAGAAGAAGGGATTTCGGGGTTGGAGGTAAGGTCGATCGGGTTAGGACGAATATAATTGTAATTAGAAGAAGCTATTTCAGACGATATCATAATAGGGAAAAAAGAGAGGGAAGTTAGGAAGGGGCGCTGTAGGGAGGATTATATAAATAAAAGACGAGGTTTTTACGCCGTTATAAATGGAAGTAGAGCCGAGGAATACGAAATAAAGGAATAGGGCGGAAGTAAATATAAATAGGGGTAATAAAGCGGATGAGTAGGAATATAAACGGGGAAATAGGATAGAGAAGCGGAAGGAAGGCGGAGAAAGGAGTAGTAGGGGTTAAAACAGAGAAGCGGCGAAGGAGGGCGGTATTTTTAGTCCTATTCTTATTATTCTTATTATTTTAGTATTGGGATAATATAGTAAAAGAAGGGATAAAATTAGTTTGCTATAGTAGTAAGTGAGAATTATTATAGTTATAAGTAAAGTAGGAGCGGCGTGGGTAATTTACGGCCGAGATGGAGCGGGGGGTTTTTATCCGGCGGCGCTTAACGCCGTACGGTTTTCCCCTCTAGAGAACCTGGAGAAGGACCCTATACTAACAGGGCACTATAATTATATAATATAGGGAATAAGACTATTATTATTATTATTATATATAACGCTACCGCTAGGTATTTAGGAAAATACAGTTAATTATACTAATTAATTAGGAGTTTTTATTAATAGTAATAAATTGTAGCAGTAGGATTCCTAGCTCTCTAATTACTTCCTCGACCCTTTTAATTAGCTACGTAAATCCTTCCTCCCTTTCGTTATTAATTACTACTTAAAAAATTAGTATAGAGGTTTTTTTAAGGGTAATTACTATACACTATACTAAGGGGGTATAGTAATAGTTAGTCTTATATATAGTATTAAATAAAAAAGTAAAGGGGTATTATAACTATATTCTCCATTGGGTACGAATTAATTAGAGAGTTTAATGTAGTATAGTACCCTCCTCTTCCTCCTCTTCATCCCTATAATAATTAAACTCTAGCTTTTAGAACTCAATCGACTTATTATTATTAGTAAGCTTCTTAACGAAGGGTTAAGTATTAATATAACTATCCCTATTATTAGCGCGTAGTACTTATTATATATTTTCGAAGTCTTTATAAGTAAGATGGAGTTTAGGATAGTACTAACGAACGGTAGTATAGATTAAATATATTAGTAAATCCCATTGGTTAACAAGATTGGTAATAGTTTCTTACGTTTTAATATTAGTACCCTTACTTCGAAATATTATATATATAAGGAGGTCTTTAGAGAGAGGGTACCTATAATATATACAGTCTATTACTCTAATACTCTACTGATAATTATTAATCTTTAAATTTAATAATACTATACGGAAGGGGCAACCGCGTACAATTTTTTACAATGTAATCCGTTGCTTCCTATATAGGTTATCGTTAGGGTACTTTTAGTACTCGCTGTAGTTATAACGTATAGCTATCTTCTACCGCTTGCCGTATATCTCTAGTACTTGTAGGTTATTATATTTATAATCATATTATATTGTAATACCAAAGCGATAGCAACAGTATATTTCAATAACTTCGAAGTAAGTATAGTCCGACGAAGGTTGGAGAGCGAAACTAAATATAGGGTCGTTGGCAGGCACTTCCTATTTAACATCGCGATTAAAGGAAGTATTACTAATAAAAGTAACCGATAAAGCATTTAAATTGCAACAACGGCATTGCGCAAATATCTAAATCAATTATCAACGATTAAAAGCGATTAAAATTAGTCAATTCAAATAGAGTTACCTACGGTAAGGGTACTTTAAATACAATTATTAGTATACAACAGTAAATATATAGTATAAATCGCTACAAAGAGTAGGTATAATTAACTGTATGAAAATGAGCAAAGAACTTAATTAAGTTAGAGCAAATGTTCCGTATATTGAAAAGACGAAATTTAGCGGGTAAAAACGGGAATTTCAATATCAAGTATTATTCAACTATAGTTCCACTTTTCCAGGTAGGACAGGGTACACATAGGGAATAGGGTGGGTACGGAGAGGGAAGCCCTTAATCTTTCTAAATATAGCTAGCTCTTAAGTTCTTCAAACTAGCTTAAGAGGTCGTCGTTAAATAGGTCGAATATTTAGACCGCGCGAATAATTGAAAAAATTATAAATTGGAAAGTACTATCGTCTACAAGGATAGTCGCGTTAACGAGGGACCCTCTGAGGGCTAGGAGAGGTCTAAACTGATCTTCTATATCAATACTAATAAGGCGCTCAATAGCTTAGGTATACGGTACGCCTTCTAACGCGGTTAAATAGACATTTCTATTTATTAGTAGCTTGGAGCCTTCAATTTCGCTATCTAGAGGGGCGTCCGAAACGTCGATATCTTCGTCTAGTACTTCTAGTAGGATACCTTCGTTATTAATAATAATATTATTATTAAAAAACATGAACTTTACCAAACTCTACGTTTTGCGGGATTTCTAGCAATTAATAGCGTCGCGGGGTAGTACTGAAATTCGTACTTCTTTCCTTATAGTAAAGTACGTTCGTAGCGTAATAGTAAAGTACAATTTATTATTATAGGGTAAGGCGATATTTAACGTATAGGGTAGAATATAATCTATATAATTATACAAGAAAGATGGGGAATTATAGAATTCATATATAGTAGTTTATCCCATATAGGCGAGGATAAGCTATATCTTTAATATACGTGACCGGAGCCTCCGGGAGCGTGTGGTTAATTAGGGGGCTCGCATTGGCCCAGTAGCTACTACGGCGGTAGTAAGGCTAGACGGGTCAGCCAATTAGAGAGCGTACGTCAACCGGCAACCATAGCCGTAGTAATGCCGCTACCACATGACAGTCACAGGCTAGCCCTGTGACAGAAATAATATAAGCAGAGTAACTATTTATTTATTTACCACCTTTTAAGTTATCATTAAGGGGAATAGCGGGTCCTTTACCTAGTAGATAGTCTTATGAAATTGAACTTAGCAAGGCATTATTAATAATAATGGTATTTATAAATATATTGTGCGCGTAGGATATAATAAGATACTTCTAGTAGCTTTTCTTCTAGTAATTAATTTTAAGAGATTAAATGAAATGGCGGACTAGTATTAATAACGGAAGTCTAGTAAATATAGTAATAAGGTTTATAGTATTAATTCGTATTCCTATTTATAATATTCACATACGTATAGTAGGGGTAGTAGTGTAAGTAGGTCCCGGTCCGGGGGCGACTAATTGTAGGGGCGGGTATTTTTTTATATTCTAGACTTAAATAGTAAATTAGTAGTCTTAATAGGGGAATAGACCTTAATAATACTATAAGACCCTACAGCCGGCCAGCCTTATAATTATTTATTAGTAATTATGTTATTGAATATACCGGTACCTTAGTATTAGCTTTATATAATTATTACTACTATTAAATATTCAAATAAATACATATTAGAGTATATAGTTTACTGTTTATATAATATAACGTACGTGCTAGTAATTATATTTATCTTATTTATAGCTCTCTATTTTGCAACCGACTATTATTTATTCATCTACCCGGTCTATCTAATTATTGAACTACCTCTTATATATAGTTTACCCGTTATATTCAATTCTATGTTAATTGTATATCTAACTTAATTTTAACTATTATACTCTTTCCAATTATTATTTCAAGACCGCTAGCCCTACGATGCCTTGTTGACGAATCAAAGTAAATAAAGGCGACGATCCCCCTTTGTAGGTAGATTATATTATCTATAGACTACTACTATTTGGGGTTAATTATAGTAAACGCGTACTACTTCCTCGGATTTATTTATATTAATCCAATTAACCTCGGCGTTTAAAATTAAAATTACTAAACTTCGTTCTACTAATCGATGCCGATAATAATACGGTTATATTTAATACGGGCGCGGTATATAATAACCTTAAAAATAATAATAATAATAATAATAATAATAATAACAATAATAATAATAATAATAATAATAATAGTAATAATAATAGTAATAATAATAATAATACTATTAATTGGTAGGATATTAGCGACAAAGGTAACGATAAGGGTAATAATGAAGGTGAATTGGATCTAATTTCTATTTTAGTTAGCTATAATACTAATACTTTTATAAGTGTTATTAATTAAGATCTCTTCGATAATATAAATATTATAGACATTCGTCGCAGATTCGAAAATTTAATAAATCCTAACGTCGTTCTTCCTGCTAGGTTCGACGAAGAATAATTGCAGTTTAACGTC